TATCTATATTTGTCTTGTCTCATCTTTTGCCACGTGTAGAATTTAGTAGGTAGTGAGTCGAGATGATAGCCAAACTTTATGATTTCGCAAAAATATTCTGACGGTAGTAAAGAAGCCTGTTGCCAAGTGTGTTTTATTAGTCCCCAAACGTGTTGTCTCTTGGCCAATTAGTGACTGTTTAAGAAAAAGGTTTTTGATGTTGTCACTCACAATGGACGAGGAACCCAAACTCAAATAAGATACAAACATAGTCGACCTATGGTTTATACCAGCCAATAACTTACATAAAATAGATTAAGTATGCATTGTTGTCACCCAGGCGAAATAGAAGAAATGCATATGTTTAAATGTTCCATTTTGTACTAAACGATTTGTTTGTACGATCCTGCGCAGTAAGAGAGAGATATGTAGGTATAGGGCTAAGCCCATATTCATACTTCTTTTCCCATTCTATAAAACATAACACACATTTTGGCCTTATTAGCTGCACACAAGATCTGTGTATAGAAGAATTTAGTTTGTGTTTGTAATTCCACCATTTCAGTTGTGATATTCTAAATAATATTAAATGAATCGGCAGGCTATCTTATATGTTTATATCTGACCAACTACCTTGTAATACGGTATGAGACTATTTTTTATGCGTACTGGTTTCTATCTCTATTCTATTACTATCTCCGGAAGATCTTAGTAACATTTCCAGTAAAAATAAAAATAGAAATAATATATAGTTCATGAAACATTATGAATGGTAAGTTAATCTCGCGTGCTATTTTTTTTTAATGTGAAAAGTTGTCAAGCGAGCAGGCGGTTTACCTGATGTTAAGTGAATACTGCCGCCCATGGACATCTGCTACACCCGAGGGTTCCAGATGCGTTGACAGCCTTTTGAAAATTGAGCCCTGGCCACCTCACTCACCAACGAATCGCGAAAGTATTATATTTCCACTTTACGCTGGTCTTCTGTAGCTTAAGGATAACATTTTGCAGCTTTAGTGTGTCTAGCTTATACATTTGTTCACATTTATTAATTTTTTTAAGGTTATTAATTTATCACTACATTTCCTGTTCTCTTTTGCAAAAAAAAAAAAATGTTTAATTTCTTTTTAGTGCATTTGTTTTAGTAATAGATTTAAAGACTAATATAAATTAATGTAACCACGGCAGTCATTTCGGCATCCGTTCAGTCGAAAGCAAATGTTGAATTTATTAAGGTAAATTATTGATCATTGTATTTTCACGATTACAAACGATTCATCTTTTCCGTGTTAGCTTAAAGATAAATTTAAATACATTTCAATAAACGATGATAGAGCGCTCCGTTACTCTAATTTCTCATAACACTAGTGTTCGATAAAAAAAATATAGCGTCAGCGTATACATGTCCCGATGCTGGGCAAAGGCTTCCAATGTACAGAAGGTATCGGGGTATAGTCCACCACGTGGCCCCACTGCGGATTGGCGGACTTCACATATCTTCGAAATATTTTTTTTTGATATTATATCGAAAATATGCAGGTTTCCTCACGATGTTTTCCTTCACCGCCGAACACGTGATTCAGCACTTAAAATTGTCAATTTCATTGCTTTTCATGAGCTTAGGTTGTTTGAGTAGGATATTTTAAATTAAAGGCGACCGCCCGGACACTATGCGGTCCCGGCGATGGAAAACCATCGCTGGGCCCTGCCAGACGATGTGCGAGACTTGCTGAGACACAAGAATGCGGCCAACCGAGCCTATGATAGATATCCCACCGACTCGAATCGTAGACTGCTACGTAAATTGCAGCGTGAGGTCAAAACACGCATAGCAGACTCACGAACGAACGATGGGACTCCACCCTAACTTCAGTAAAACCATCCCACGTAGCTTTCTGGAAACTTCCCAAATCCCTCAAGGGTAACGGCATAACAACCATGCCGCCACTAGTCCGTCCGATAGGTATGCCAGCAATGCTGGACGAAGAGAAGGCCGAATGCCTGGCTGACAGCCTAGAGTCTCAATGCTCCCCCAGTCTGCTTCCGATCGACCCCGAACACCTCCGCAAGGTGAACGAAGAGGTAGAAAGGAAAGCTTTAGAGCCACTCCGCGATCCCGTTCCCCCGGTCACGTGCCTAGAACTAGTAGAGACCATTAAAAAACTACGCCCTACTAGCATCCTTCAGATACTAGTATTAATTTACAACGCGGCCTTAACCGAAGGCTTCTTCCCATCCGAGTAGAAGGAAGCCGATGTCATAGGGTTCCTCAAACCCTCTAAACCCGCCACTCTCCCAACCTCATATCGTCCAATAAGTCTTCTCAAAACATTTGGGAAGATCTTTGAAAGACTAATATTAGCCCGCTTAAGATCCCTTATGGACACCAAAGGGCTCCCCATCCCAGAGCAGTTTGGATTCAGAGCCAAACACTCGTGTACCCACCAAGTGCACCGCATCACGGAGCACATATTAACCAAACGCCAACGTGGACTCAATACCGGTGCACTCTTCCTGGACGTGGCAAAAGCGTTCGACAAAGTCTGGCACAACGGGCTCGTACACTAGCTATACGGGTACGGAGTGCCTGACCGTCTCGTATGCATAATACGAGACGGTCACTGATGTGGTTCCTAACGAATCGAACCTTTCGCTATCGCGTCGAGGGCGTGTGTTCGACTACGCATCCCGTTCGAGCCGGGGTGCCCCAAGGGTCGGTGTTGGGCCCAGTCTTGTCACCCTCTACACCAATGACATGCCGCGTGTCAAAGATGTAGAACTTGCTCTTTTTGCCGACGACACCTGTATCTATACCACAGGCAGAACACCCGAATTGATCCATCGACGCCTCCAAGCTGCGGCCATCACCATCGGTGACTGGTTTCGGCAATGGAGGATCGAGATCAATCCCGCCAAAAGCGCGGCCGTCCTTTTCGCGCACAAAAAGAACATACCCATACCACCCCCAGTTAAACTCTTGGACAGCCCAGTACCATGGGTTAATAAAGTCAAATATCTAGGCGTCGTCCTCGACTCCCAGCTTAAATTCACCCAGCACGTGACCCAGGTCAGGAACCGGGCGGCCTTCGTACTCGGTCGCCTCTACCCGCTCCTCAATAAAACGTCTAAAATGTCCCTTCGGAACAAGGTAACCTTATATAAGGCAGTAGTTCGCCCTATCATGACGTACGCGAGCCCCGTCTTCGCTCACATTGCTCCGAAGCAAATACACCGGCTTCAGGTGAGTCAAAATCGATTATTGCGCAGAGCCACGGGAGCACCCTGGTTCATGCGCAATATCGACCTACATGTCGATCTAGAATTGCCCACCATCGCGCAATTCCTGAAGTCGGCGTCGCGCCGATATTTCGATTCCGCCGCCGCGCATCCCAACCCACTTATCGTAGGTGCCGTCACCTACAGGCCCTTGCCGCTAAATATTTTCCGCCGCGATTACCGAAGACCGCGTCACGTTCTCGACTTCCCTGACGATGAGACGACTATCGCCATCGAAAGGATCAAAAAACTCAAGAAACACACCAACACACACCGCACTCGCCGGCGAGTGCGGCAAAAATATACTAGGTTCCGCCACGTACCTGGCAGGTTTTCCCCTATTAATGATAGAAGCGTTGCTGGAGTTTCTTCCGCCACTTCTTCTCCCAGCGCCAACGCTCTCCGAAGTGGTAGTAATGTTAGCTCTAAAAAAAAAAATATGCGATCACGGTACGTCTTCGGTAACTCTTTCAATGTTCAGTCTGGACTAATTTGGAACTTCTTGCCTGATGACAAACGCTCACTAAGCCTAAGGCTTCATTAAAACGCTTCATCCGTGCCCTGTACTTAAAAGAAATATTATAAGCCAGAATGCTACATGTTATCGGTATGCCTGATGCCACTGGCGATTAAGTTTATACATGTATACATGTAAATATATTTGTTCTACGCCTCACAGAATACCTGCCTGGAGTGGAAGTATACACTTTCGCGTTTCGTCTGGTGAGTGAGGTAAACGGGGCTTCCTTTTTTCATGGTTGGCAACGGCTATGCAACCCGTAAGTTGTCGTAGATGTCCATAGGTAGTTGATGTTTTATAACATTTAATGTGATTATGGCCGGTGGAAACGAGTTTGGTTGGATACAAGGGTTGTTTATGTCGTACTCGCGCCGACTAAAACCTCCATTAAGCCACGGGAACGCTTTCATACACTTTTGCGACCCTGCCAGCGCTGGCCGCTTCAGCAGCCCCGTCTCGGGAGCAACTCCCCTCACTTCTAGGTACGGGCCGTTGGAATATTCAACGCGCTTTCCTACTCGGCTCCTTTATCACGGGACTCCCGCATCAGCCGTATAGCCCCGTCGAGTCGTGGAGGATGGAGAGAACCGCCAAACGCAATACCAACAATCCTCTTTCTCCTCGACTCCTCCTCGGAGAGTGGCTTCTCCTCTACGACCCTAGATCTGTCCCTTGCATCCACCAATCATACATCCTATTGGGCACAATGAGCCCACTCGCAGCGGCCCTCTCGGGCCAGCCTTACACCACAGGGCGGCCCGGTGTGGGATCCTCATGGATTCGCTGTGGGTGACAAGGTACGGTAACTTAGCCTCTCCCCAACAACAAGGCGGGAAACCGGTTGGAGGGGACTTGCAAGTCCCCGAGCTTCTACAGATTTTATACTAGACAAAATCCTTTATACCATTTAAAATCAAGTAAACGACAATGCCCTCTGTACAGAGGAGGCCTTTGCCCAGCAGTGGGACATGTAGGGTAAAGGTTGGCTTTATGGTGATAATAAGAAAAAAACTTAAAATTTTATTTCAAAATTAACATTTATTAGAAAACCTCTTTACTTATTACAATAATCAGACTTTTCTTTTCAATAATTATTAATCACAGCAACTTAAATTCTTAAACATTAATAGGAAAATCAGATCAAATAAATCTTTTTGGTGTTGGCAATATGGAGATACGGGGGCAATTTGGTGATACCATATGTGGCAATATGGTGACAAGTCTATTCAGGTGCCCAATCTCTGTCATCAGTGCCTGAAAAGTCTACTTTATCACAATTATCACACAGGAACTGTGGCGACTCTGTGCCAGTACATTCTTGGTGGTACCATTTGCCGCAGCTCATACACTCTACCCATACAGCTCCGTTCCTAAGTGCCACATCTTGGGAGTAGTGAACACCGCAATAGTCACACATCGTACTTTTATTTGATTTTGGTGTTTTCTCTACCTTGACTCTTGGTAGTTTACGCTTCAGGTTGCTTTCAGTTGAAGGTCCAGGAGTTAGAGAAGCAGAGGGGACACGAATCGAGGTAACGGTCTCCTCACTGGTAACGGCGACTGTGGTTTCGTTTGATATGGCGACGATGTTTTCTTCAGGACTGTCCATGTTGTTCGTGCTTTGAGGTGTTAAATATCGGGCCTGTGGATTCCGCTTAGCTCGTCGGGTACTAAAAGAAGAAGACTGTGGTACCTCAGGAACGGAAAGTAAAGAGAAAACTGAAGGTGACGCAGTTTCACGATTGACAGCAGAAGCTTGGGCATTATCAGTGGAAGATTCAATATTCTGTGACTGTAGGTCACAATTATCCTTTATAACTTTCATATAAGACTCCTTGAAGCGTGAAGAGTCATAATTTCTGCGTTCCTCGCCCTTCATTTTCCTTTTATTTGCCTTTCCGGACTTGTTCCTGTAAGAAAAATCATCCAATACGTAAGACTATAACCCGGACTAATGAAACACAACCCGATATTTTTTTTAACAGAAAGATACAACATTTCGAGCTTCATCTACCCTGAAAACTCCATTCAAATTAAGCTTGTAATAAAATAAAAATAAGCTATGTAATGTTTTTGGTAATTTGGTGATATTTACGTACCGATTATCCTCCATTTTTTTCGCATATTTTGGCGCGAAACAAATAAACCGCGTCCGGTGAGGACAGCGACCAGCGGCCAAATGAAAGAGAGATGAACATACTCGCCTTCAGTTCATTGAATGAACGCAAAACTCGCGCTGGGCATTATAAAGACCGTTGAAAGCAAAATTATCACCATATTGCTATATATCACCATTTAGCCAACCTTTACCCTATAGGCGTTTACTTAACTAAACGACAATACCGCATAGTTTCCTGCCCTTTCTTCTCTGAACCGGTGGTTGTTTTTTGACGTTAAATAAGAGCTTTTAATAAGCGTATCTTTAATAAAAAATATTGTTTAAATGCTTTATTAACTTGCCAACTTATAAAAGTATTTTGTTCCTATTATAAATATTTTTACACGTTCCACAATTTATTTCCATGCCCTGGCTTGAAAGGGCTCTCCCATTGCAAATGACGAGTATGCCATTTGTTATCCTTTTTTAAGTTAATTAAATTAAATAAATTATAATTCTTAAAAATAATTATTTTCTAATATTGAAATTAATTAAATAGTGAACTAGTTAATGAACTAAAATAATCAATATAAAAAAATCAGATAATAAGCTACTACTGACAAACCAGGTAGCAAATTATTCCCGACTTCGAAACCGACTTTAAAACAAATGAATTAGCATTAAAGTTTAGTTTTATAAAGTTTAGGAAGTAAAATAAATTGAAAACTTATAACTTAGGGCCTACATCATTCAAACTAATTATAAGCGAGAAACAATAAAGATTAAAATAATGTGTAACTGTCTTATTGAATGTGGTAATAACGTTTTTTCATACTTAACGATTAATTTGTGCAAGAGGAATAACTTTATGTAATGCAGAAGAGACAGGGAGGGACAGACGAACTCGGTAAACTTACAATAAGGAAAGGTAACTCTACCACCTATGGATATCCACAATAAGTTCATTGTTCCGTTACCATTGACTCGTCTGAAAACGTTATACATCGAAATTGAACGTCCCATTAAATTATGTTATCGATGAAATTAAAATATTAGTCAACTATTACGCTATAAAAAGTTGAATCAATAATATTGAACTGATATATTTATTTACATCAAAATTGCTTTCTAAAGCTAACTCTGGCTGTTAGACAAGATAACCCTGTATTGTAGAGGAATTTTATATACACAAATTTCCTATCAACATCCCACTGCTGGGCAAAGACCTCCTCTGTATTATGGATATTAGGGCATAGTTCACATCCATTCACTGCGGATTGGCAGACTTCACACATCTTCTAAATATTTTTTTTACTTATTATTTCGGAAATATGCAGGTTTCCTCACGATGTTTTTCTTCACCGCTGAGCACGCGATATTGCAGCACTTAATATTAAAAATTACTTTGGTACCGTCACCGGGAATCGGACTCAGGTTACTAGAGTATGTTGGATTAAAGGCGAGTACCTATATTTAGTTAAATTTTTTTCGTTATTTTTTCTTATTTGCATATATTTCAATTTATAAGAGAATACATTTAGTGTCCCGCGAATGTTAAAATTTATTGCAATAATACATGACAAAAATTTGCCTCGCTTATTTGCGCTCCCTGATGCCATGATTAAACGCTCTACTAAGATGCCTACGGTAACGATCCAAAAAGTTAAATTGAAAACTTTACATGCAAAATTAACTTTCTAATTGTTGACTTGAATAATTAACAAAATTATCTTAAAACTCACTAAAATTAAACTACAACATTTTAAAGTAGTGTAACAGTGTTTAAAAATTACAGAACTACAGATGCATTACACCATTGTGTGTTCACCCTTCATACGAACAAAAGATTTTAATCATACGGACTAAAAAAAAGCTCATAAAATATTTGTAGGCTTTAGATAAATAATGATGTGTAATGTAATAGATGAAATGATTAAAGATGATATTTCTTTTAGTGTCTATTTAGTTCATATGTGATTCTTTTAAAAATCAACAGAACACGAAAAACGGTTCCAATAAATACTTAAAATAAAATTAGTTTTGAGTAATATAATTATTCCATTTTATGCTAAGCACCAATTTAAAAAAATGCTAATTAAAAAGCACGGTTCCCATAGAGTACCACCATATAAGCCTTTATTACCAAAATGGATAGCTCAAGTGTTATTTTAAATACAGTTTCTCACTCTAGCGCCAAATTATTTAAATGTTATTGCAATTCGAAGTCTAAAGTGGGTGGATCTTTGAACGATATAAAAGCCAGCGTGGATTTTTTTCCCGCATTCGAACTAGTTCATCGAAGCTGGGCAATCTTAAAATAACAAAATGAGATTCGCCGTAAGTTGAAACTTGTAAAAATAAATAATAAATAAATAAATAAACTAAAATAAAAAAGACAACTATAAATTATTATAAATGAATAAAAAAATGTTAAAAACATATATTTTCGTCTGAGTGAAATTTTGTTTCACTAATTCAGAAAAATTAATTTTATTTTTATTGTGTGCCAATCAGGTCGTCGTATTTGCTGTGCTGGCGGTGGCCTACGCCCAAAACACGCCCACCCCCAAGCCTTCAGCGTTCAACACCTTCGGCTTCCCCCAGAACAACCAATACAATCCTTATGGCCAGTACAACCGGTACCAGAAGTACTCTCAGGGTCAATACCAGCCGTACAACCAGTACCAGAACCAATACCAAGGCCAATACCAGAACCGTTACCCCTACCAGACTTACAAACCCGTCGTCACCTCCACCGTTGCCCCACTTCGCCCAGTTGAACCAGTAGCCCCCTCAGCCGCTCCATCTCCCGCACCAGTCGCCACTGCCTCAGCCACAGTCTCCGCTTCTCCCGCCCCCGCACCTGTAAGGGCAGTCATCTCCTCCAAGGTTGTCTCCGACGCACGCGCAGCCTCCGTTGTCAAATACGGCAATGAGATCAACCCCGATGGCGCTTTCAACTACTTGTGAGTACTTCAAACGTAATTGCAAACTTGCAAAATTATAAATATTGTTGAGTTTATAATTCTTACTGAAATCGATGCTTGCGATCAACGATAGCTTCGAGACTGACAACGGTATCGCGGCTCAAGCGCAAGGTGTCCCACGTAACTTCGGCGGAGACCCACCAGTCTCTCCCGACGTAGTTCAAGGTTCCTTCTCATGGATTTCTCCCGAAGGTGAAGAGATCGCCCTTACCTACACCGCTGACGAAAACGGATACCAAGCTCAGGTGAGTTAGTGCACAAGAATCGTTCATGTTCTTATAATCGGAGAAATATTTAACTAAGTATTTGCGAGTCAATGAGTTATGAACGTTTAAAATATTATACAATAAGACAGTGAAATGTTTTATGATTAAAGTCAAATTTGCGAATCCAAGGGGCAACATAATATTATGTAAATCTTTCATATGGACTATACGATGTCAATTAAAATACATGTGTTATTTATATTAAATGATAAATACTTTTGCTTTTTAGGGTAGCGCCATCCCCCAGCCACCTGAAATTCCTCCCCAGATCGCTCGCGCCCTGGAATACATCGCCAAATACACCCCCGTTCAAAAGTGAATAGAAGATTTTTGAGGAATCTCACAGTTGTAATACATACCCCTTACACCTAGGATTTATTTAAGGTCCATAAATATGAAATAGATTGTGATAATTATGTATCATAATAACATGTTACAACAACATTGAATGTACGTTACCATATGTTAAATAAAACCACTAGTAAATAACATAATAGTCCTTTCTTTTCTCCCTCAGCGCTATAACAAATAGTCTTTATTTTAAATATATACAATCTACATACATTAAAAAAATTCTAAAAAATCATTTAGCGTCTAATAAGAACCTACAATAACAACAAAGCAATGTGGTATTTGGAGGTCACTAGAATCAAATAAATACAAGTTCGTTTAGTCATGATTATAAAAAAATTGGTTTACGCAAGTTAACAAACTTCAAATCGGGCGCTCAGTAACCAAAAAGTCGGTAAAATCATAATTTTATAGGACCCCCAAAAACACTTGGCTGTTAAATGTAAACCTTTGTGTTTTAATATGTAAAATAATCATGCAATTGATTTACTCTAAATGTGTTACTATTATTCTTATTAAAAAGCTCCAATCAAATACAAATATATCAATGATCTTAGCGTTTTTAATATTAATTTTATTAGTCCTTCGGGATTCAAACCTGCGGGTAATGATCGGTAACATAGCGGTTTCACTAAAAACATAAGGACATTATTCCAGAACAATATGTTATCAATTTCCTCGCAAACATGGCGAGGATAGTAATATCTTAAAACTACTAAGCTACTATTAGTATAATCTAAAGGCCAACCCATAAATTATGTTTTTTTTCCAGATGAGTAGATCTCTTTCAAACCTTGACATATGTTTTATACACCACATATTGATTCTTTAATATTTCATAATTTTTTGCGAAAAAAGAAAATAAATTATAGTTTCAAGATGTTTGATTTTTTAATTATTGCATTTTACTATAGCTTCGACTCATGTACTGTTCAATTACATTGTTTGCATATTATAGAAAAATGAGTCAAATGAGCAATCAATTAAGATATTTTGTGAATTATGAAAGTAAAGTACGAAGATTCCGGGAACAAAGTTGTTCGATTGATTTAGTCTGGGACTAGAACAAAGTACTCCAGGCAATTCTAATAAATAGTACATTTCTTTTAACTGTCTTGTACAAATTCCTTCCTTCAAAACCTGTTTACATATTATGCCCAAAGGGATTAGAATATAAATAAAACAGCCTCATCAGTGTTGAAAATGCTAAATATTTTTAGTTTACTTCATTGTTAACAAAATTCATCTACATATTGATGATCGATTTTAAAGCGCCCCTACTGACCGACCAGCTTACGCCTTTTCATACGCCCGCTTAGGCAGGTCGCAGTCGCACGAAACTAAGTCATAGTTAGGAGTAATCCTAGGTAAAATCGAGGTTCTGTTCTGCCTGTTCAAAAACCTGAGCCAACTCAGGAGATAGGTTACCCAGAGTCGAGTTGGATGTGAAGAGATAACCCAGTAGATAGGCTTTCTCCTTCACGGCATGGGCCACTAAATCATCCCCCGTGTGCAGGGGTGGAAAAGAAGCCTGATAGAGGTTCCGTGAGACTGCTTTGTTGAGAGACCAAAACTGACGTTTTCCCGATGTGAGACGCGCCAGTCTCTCATCAATTCTGCCAATTTCCTCCAACTTCGCCTTAGCAATAACACTTTTAAAGATAGACCTAGATACAGGGCTATCCTCCTTTTTTTAAAGCTATTATTTGATATTAACATCACCAAAGCCCGTTAGCATTCCCGCTACCGGCATAATGCCGTCCTTATTCTATGTAAATACAAAACTTAATCGGTCTACTCTCTTAATATATATTTAATTTTAAAAGATTTCGCCAATAACGCATTTCCCTTGTACTGTTATAGTTACTATATATAATAATTGAATATATCTATGCTTCTTTGTTTGTAAAATGTTCAAACCGGAAATATTTAAGCAACCTGTACCCTGGAGTCGTTTTGAAATTGTTAAGAGACAATTCTGGTTCTTAGTTTCTTACGTTATAGACCACTTTCTAAATTTTTAAGTTAATTAGATTGGTAAAATAACTAGATTAAGTTATAAAAAATTATTTAAAAAGTAAATATATGACATATTAATGCATCTTCGAAAACAACACGCATGAAACTTGTTTGTACATCCTGAAAGTGCTCAGAGGTAGTTGTCCAAATAAAATTTTCTTACTTGTTGTACTTCTGAAATCTAATGTTCCGAAAGGCTGTCAGTGGCTCACGGCATTATTCGAACAGAGCCCAGTTCCAATAGATATTAATTACCTGTTGTAAAACTACTCGCATAATTTATCTACTGTAAATGCTGAATTGAAATAAATTGGGACAAGGCTATCTAATTCTTTCAAGGATCCTTGGAACACCAATTAAGATCCCTCTGCAATTAGAGGAAAACCAATCCAGAGCTGGAAGAATTGAGATAAGGTGGGATTCTGATTCTACATGATCAATTTCTTATCCTACGGGTTACATGATCAATTGTTTTAAAAGCATAAAAAAGTACAACAGCAGCATCACTGTAGGCTGCTGTTCACCTGGTGTTCATTTTATTAGTATTTGTATTTCGTATTTTGTGTGGAAGAGGATCAGTAACTCCCAACGACCACTGGGATCTAGAGTCTTACCTTCTAGAACAAGGATAAGCAACGCGCGGCCCGCGGGCTTAAACATGTTTATCCGGCCCGCCAAACATTTCTAAAATTGAATTTATTTTATCGAATTTCTCCCATCAGTGTATTATTATAAAATTAATTATAATAAAATGGTAGTACATACTGAACCGAAATATTTTTTGTTCATTTTTCTGTTTCTTCTTTTCTTGTTTGTTTTTACCTTGCATTAAAATTTGTATATGAAATCTTTACTTTTTTTTAATTTTATATTTTTTTATTCTAATATTTATTATAAATAAAGTTTCGTAAATTATTATGTGCGGCCCGCCAAAAAATTTGAAATTTAAATTAGCCCATTGATTAAAAAGGTTGCTTACCCCTGTTCTAGAACATTGCGCCTTACTGTAGGATAACTTTTTCTTGTTTTATAAGTACATTTTACTTGGACAAACATTTTATTTAAATTTTATTTTAGATACTTTTTTCTTCTTTCCTGCGTTTAAAAAGGTATCATAGACAGGTTTGACATGTATTTATATTTTTACAAGAAAAAAAAAAAAAAAAAAAAATACATAAGTTCCATTAAAAGTTTCCGGTAAGGAAACATTGTATAAAAAGAAGTATTAATTGTACATTGAATTATTTCTAGAGCGGTTTGAATATTAATTACGCCCTCCTTTAAACCTCGGTTTTCGATATATCTTTATGAACGTATGTACCGTCGAAATCTGTGAATGTATTTTAAACATTGGATTAAATTATTGATACACATATGTGAAGACTTTCAGATTTATTACACACATATTAATATTATTACAGATGATAAATTCAAAGTAACGCCTACAAAATAAGTTAATGTTTTCTTGGAATTTCATTGGTATCAAGGTTCCACTTAACTAGTATTGTATCAACTAATATGTATGGGGTCACGAAATTATTCAAATCGTTTTAGGCAAGTCGTTTGGCTGCTAATAAGACAATAAATTGAAGAGAGACGAACCCGTTGCTAGTTTCTATGACCTTGGATATTATAGGTGTTATACTCTTTCAAGGCGAAGTTCTATTCGAACCACGCGTCAAAGTGATACTCATCGCGCTCCGGTTACAAAATTTAGCGGTAATTTATTATATCACGCTTTCAAAGATATAAAAGGGACCGCATTTGGAAGTGCTATCAGCTCTCTACTAATAAAACAGCATAAGACAAATATAGGCGGCCAACATTCACGCCCACCAAAATAGGACACTGAATTTTTCGTTCCGCATACTTCTAATAAATAATTGCTGATTCTCCTCATTCTCTAAGTCATACACATATCCGTGACACAATGAAGCTTTATACATATATCCAAAGTCTAAAATTATTAATAAAATTTACAAAATATTAGTGAAGTTTTTTGTCTCTCGTCGGCGTTTATTGTTGAGATTAACATTTACAGAACAAAATTTTCAAACAAAGACGCACCGTTGATCACGTCGTTGATATTGCGTTCTTTCTCGTACACGAATGCCATTTTTCGTGATCGAAAATAATGTTGAGTCATGATTTTTCCACAATCAGAGAAAAAGTAGAACCAAATAAGTATTTGATGGCATTGTTGTCTACAAATAATCAGTAAACACTTTATTAATTCATCTCAATATGTTGGCATTTTTTCTGTTGGGTTAACACACGGTGATGATAATAAAGGAACAGCCGGAAAAAGTACAAGTCTTCATTACTTCGTGTTGTCAAGTTCACAATAAAAGGGACTAGTTCTGAAATCGCCCCATGCACGAACGTTAAATTGTGAACGTTATATTGAGAGTAACTACTTCGGGTAAAATCTTGTAAGATATTTAAACATTCTATTCGATTTCATTATATTGTTGAGTGATTTAAAGTAAAGTTACAGCCTATGTATGTTCCACTGCTGATCAAAGGCCTCCTTTGTCTAATCCAGGGATGTGCGAAATAGCCCTACTTCGCTTCTATAAATATAGACAGATTAAAGTTTATTTAACTTTCGCTATAATCAACAGCTGTTTGAGTACTTCTGCTAAGAATGATAACCATACAGAACACTGAACTGAGTTCCATATCTCTTCAGACGAATTATCTACTAGTGTCTCTCATCAATATTTCTACATTTTAAGTGAGTCAAATCTACATTTCTTTTCAGGAGACATCCAATGAAATATTACCCGGAATAACCTTTAACAAGGCTCAAGTTTTGACATTAATTGCCTGGTTTGATTATTATTTGTCACGAATGCTAAGAACACTTAAAATAATATTTTTTTTTGTTTTCAGGGTTAGTCTCTACATTTTAGATAAAGCTTAAAAATGTTTTCTTAATATGTG